CACTGTCCCACTTTGGTTTTGGGAATTAAACCCAGAACCACACAGATGCTAATAAGCATGCACTCTATCACTGAGTTATGCTTCTAGTTCTGGGTATTAATTTTTTATCAAATGTATGATTTGAAAACATAATCTCCCATTTCTACAAGTTGCCTGTTTGCTGTTGCTAATGTCCATTGATGCACAAAAAAATTCAAATTTGATGAAGTTCCATTAATTTTGTTTTCATCCTCTATGCTTTTGGTGTTATATCTAAAAAATCATTATCAAATCTAATGTCTTGAAGCTTTTTCTCGTTTTCTTCTTGGAGTTTCATTACTTTAGTCTTATGTTTATATCTTTGGTAATTTTGATTACAAGGTGTAAAACAGGAGTTCAACTTAATCTTTGTTTTTGTTTGTTTGTTGTTTGTTTGTTTGTTTGTTTGTTTTTTCCTTTCCCAGGGCCTTGTGCTTGGTAATCAAGTTCTCTCAGACACATCCTCCAGCCAAGAACTTAATTCTTTTACATGTGAATATCCAGTTTTTTCAGCACCAGTAATTGAGTAAACTCTCTTTCCCCATTGAATTTTCTTTTAAAGCTTGTCAAAGATTATTTAACCACTAGAGGAGAGTTTTTTTCCTGGATATTATATTACATTACATTGATGTATTTGTCTTTATGCTGGTTCTGCATTGTTTTGGTTACTGTAACTTTATAATGCATTTTGAAATCAGGGAGATTGAGTCCTTTAACTTAGTTTTTTGTTTTTAGACTTTTTTGACTTTGTGGTGTCCCGTGAGATTACACATTGAATAATAGGATGAATTTTTTCTATTTCTGCAAAATTTGCCAATGTGATTTTTATAGGGAGTATTCAGAATCTATAGATTTCTTAGGTAATATGTACATCTTAAAAATTTTAAATCATGAACAGTATTAAGGTTTTAGGTCAAATGATGAACAGTGGTGACTTTTTATTTTTGTCTTTAGTTTCTTTCTTTTCAACAGAAAATGTTTTTGATAAGTTTTTATTTATTTTTTTAAAAAATGCTGAATCTTTCACTTTTAAATTTTTCTTTGGTTTTTCTTTTTTTCTCTTGTTACTTTGTTAAGTCACATCTCTTTGCTATAGCTTTGTATTTTTTTCTTTGATTCCAAGCATGTTTATATTTACTTGCTGAAGTATTTTTATGGTGAATGCTTTAAAATCTTTGCTAGATAATTTTAATATCTCTAATACCCAGGTGTTGGTATCTATTGATTTTTTTTCATTCAAGTTGGTTCTCGGTGTGAGGAATGATACTTGAGTGAAACCTTGATATTTTTGGTTTTTATTAAGACTGAATCTTATCTAAATCTTCTATTTCTTGGTGTCTTTTTTTCTGACAGCTCCTTGGCAAGGCAAGGGGGTCTGCCTCATGGGAGTACAGTTTCATATTACCTGTAATGGGGGTAGAAATGGGAGCTCCTTGGTTGTACAGAGTGGGAGTTCCAGCTCTCCTGCAGACCTCTGATTCACTGGCTGGCTGGGAGGGATAGTTTATCTCATTCATGATTTCCTAAGTGTCACTGATACCAGAGAGTGGTTTTTGTTTTGTTTTTTAATCAGTGGCTAGTGTTGAAAGTCTTAAATTCAACACTTGTCTTTTGGCTCATCTCTTTTTTAGTTTTTTTTTTTTTTTTGGGTTAAGAGAACAGATTTAGGGCTTTTGTGTTTGTTCTTTTGGCATTTCTGGGGTTCTAGCTTGTTCCATTCAAAGTCTGTGATATAGAATTTCCTCCCCCCCAACATCCTGTGAAACTTTCAATCATGTTTTTTTGGGGGGTGGGTGGGGGGTGGGGTGGGAAGGGAGAGTCTCCAGTTTCAAGCCCAGTTGGTCTTCTTTATATCTTTTAGATCTATTTATGTTTCATCTGTAATGTCCAAGATTTTTAGTTGTACTTAGTGTGCATAGGGAGATATCTTTATTCCATTTTCCTGGAAACAGAAGATTCTTTAAACACATTTTTAAAGTATTTAAAGGGTAAAATATTTGTAAATATTTTGCATTGCATGGAGGCTAAGAATAGTATAGGGTGATAATTGCCTCTTATTATCTTCTGTATGTATTTCAAATTGAAATCTCAGTCATACATGGCTAATCTGTGCTAAAAAGCACCTTCATTTTAATCTGTAAATTGTACTATCCCTCATATATATATTTGCATCATCATACCTCTTTATTCTGTAAAGATATAGGTCTCTAATAATAGCATCCTCTTAGAAAT